GACCACTTGACGCTGGCTGCAAAAGCCCCAGAAGTCACATTTCCAGCCATGTTTACAGCCTGCGCAAAAAACTTGGTCTGTATAGTTTATCACTTCATGGCACACACTGTTTTTATGGCTCGTCTGTTTTGATGATGTTAAGGCTAAGTGTTATTCATAATTAGGGGCGTGGCTAATGTGACTGACAGTGTGTGCGTTAAAGCTGCCTGTTTGGAGGCCTCAGCCAAAGCTCTTTGCCGTTTACTAGGTTGACTGTAAGTTAGTCAAAGTCTGCATTTCCAACGTGTCGATCGCCATCATTAAGCTTCAAAATGATATGCTTCAGAATCCAATGGGTAATGTTACTCAGACTACATCCATGTTTTATTACAAACAGTCTTTAATTGTGAACCAAGTCTATAGCAGTCCACCTTCAGCTTAGCTGCGACCTCTCTTAGGAGTAATGAGCGTACTGTGTGAACCATTTCTAAATCACCACAAGAATTGTTTTCTTATATATTATTTTATTAAATATTAGCTGACACAATATCATCAAAATCAACCCAAATCAAAGATACTATCGCTTTAATGCTTGGCTACTTGATGGAGTGCTCTCCGTGTTCATGAGCTTTAAACTTAAGATAAAGTAGCCTGAATGCACATTAGCTGAATCCAAAATGACATCATCTGGCTATTTTTACCCGTCCATCTGGTTTAGTCGCTTGCCACTACACTGTGTAATTATCTACCATACAACTATGCAAGTTATCAATATGCCACAGCACAAATGGCTCCGAGACAAATTCCTGCACGGAACATTAACTGTACTCAAGTGATCAGAAACCAGAGTGCTGGGACAGGACTGAAGTTACCAATCTGAGTTTGCAAACAACTGGAGGAACAGTGACAAAAACAGGATGGTTTAACTGTGACTCTACAGCCATCTGTGGCACGTGTGTGTCTACGCATGTGAGGATACAATCATCTGGTTGTGCATGTCAGTGTGTGTTTGTGTTATCGGTCGTGAAACAATAGGACATGAATCGAACACACACACACACACGCACGCACGCATGCACATACACACACACGCACACACACAGACACACACACACACAGGAAGTGAGTAGTCCTGCATTCCTGGAGCATGGCTGCCCAGCTGTGCCACACACACACACACACACACACACACACACACACACTGAAATCTGGTCGGTGGACTCACCACATTTACCTCTGTTAATATCATCAGTCTGATTGAGTCTTGTGTCACTTTAATGAAGGAACACAGAGCACCAGGCTCATTTCCTGGTTTAATCAGGAGAGGTGAGATTGTTATGCCGTTTGGAGGGATTTGCATCATAAACTCTATCGACAAAACGAATCGAAAAAGGAGTGTTTTCTTTGTATACCTTTCATTTTATTTATTGGTTTTGCCATGCCAAAAGCAACCATGTCGACATTAGGATATATGGCATAAATGTGCCGTTTAAAACAACAATAACAGAGGAATCGCTTGCCCCTTTTGTCAACTCCAAAAATACCCAGGTTGCTGGCATGTTTCCAGACCACACACTGCAGCCACTGAAATTGATTAGTCATTAACTTATCTATAGCAAGACCCGCTCGTCCGTCTCTTCACTTCCTCAATCTGGATCCACAAAGAAACTATCACCCTCAGAAAAACGAGCCAGTCATCCTGTTTAAGCAACATAAGTTACGTCAGATTCTGCTGTGTGTTTGGTAAATACTCTGCCTGTGCTGGCTCCTCTGCGGGGAAGTGAGGGCAGCTATTGCAGCATGGTTTTCATGGCTACAGAGCGACATATAAATCTGACCTTAGTATGTGTTGACGCTGTTTGAAGCAGCTGAAATGATAGTTGCGACTACATAAGGTGTTAAGTGGCATAAGGTTCTGATTACAAGTTTAAGTGAATCAAACCTTTCCCTTAACCTCAAAGCAGCGTTAAGGTTTAAAAATTGGAAATCACTCAATGCTGATGCGACCTCCAGGGGAGTAGACTGGCTATCCTCCAATATCAACGCTTAGCTAATGATTTGTCTTCAGTAGCGCTTAATCACATGTGGACACGTCCCGTTCCGATTATTTACACTTGACTGTTCGATGAGAAGTTCTTTTGTTAGGTATTTCAGGAGTCCTTGTGGGAGAAATCTCAATGGAGTACTGATGTTTTTGTCTTCATTTAGATGGTTTAAACTGTGATTTTTATGAATCAAACTAAAGGGAGATGATATTGGTAATGTGTGAAACGCTCGTTTATTAGCCGTACATGTTTTAGTGCCCTTGTTTCCCCCCCCCCGACAGACTGAGGGGTGTCTGTAAATGTCACCTTTGCCTCGCCCTGCCTTAAGGCGACACTTTAGAGATTCACTCGTCAGAGTTTCAATGTAGAGTTTTGGTGCTCCTGAATTCAATGCTGATGAGGTGTTTACACTCTCGAAAGGATGCAGTCCAGACAGAAATAACTCAATCCTGGCCTGAGTTCTGTCATGAAAATGTCCTAGTTTTAATACAGTGTTGGTGTAGCTTGAACAAATATTGTTAGCTCCCTTACACAAAAAAAAAAATCGACTGTACCAGAGGAGCACCATCTTTAGAGGATCAAATCTGTGATCTAAAGGCCAGGAGGCTAGTCTCACCCTCGGCCAATCCTCTGTCACTTTCTGACTGATAGAGGCAGAGAGGAAGGGCCACAAACAGAGGAGAAAACAAGCCAGCTCGAGTTCACACTTTGTTTCCTGCTCAAACATTCCTATCCAAGCCACAGATTTTCACACAGCCGTAGAACCAAATATAGGCATCACTCAGTGAGGTTTACCAAGTGCCCCGCTGCTTAGAAGAACATCTTTTAAACCAGAGGTTTCAGGTTTGATCAACCTCCAACAACTTACTTTGAGTTCGAGCATCAGCTACACAAGAACTGTATTTTCTGGAGCATTTCAGTTGTATGAAAGGATGAATCAACTGTGAAGTCAATGCAAAAGCTCCCACTCTGTACCACTGTGGACACATTAATGAGCTGTTCAATGTTTGTGTCAGGTTAGCTCAGAGCTGAGCTGCTGAAGAGGTGCTTGTCAGACCTGTGTGTCTGCAACAAGGCAAGATACTGAACCTAAATTAGGAACAAACAAGATTAGCCGCGGCAGGGAAAGACACAGTATGGAACAAGATGGTAGATGGAAGATAGCAGGATTTTGGGCTGTTTTGTTGGCATTCATAGCAGCTGTATCAGGTCAAAGTCGCTTAAATCCATCCTGTAGGATGTGTACAGATGCATGCATACACCTGTAATGACTACGAAGAGTCTGCAGGTGTACCAAACATCATCTAGCCTTGACTGAAGTGCTTAATGAAGCTCCAGTCTGCCAGAAGCCTCACCCTCACACAGTTGTGAAATGGAATTTCTCAACAGAGAGACAGAGACACAAAACAAACCACAGTTCAGTCTGTGGATGTTTGACTTCCTTACCCTGACTGATAAACCACAGAGAACTGAAGAACGTGTGAATCAGCAATGCAGATTTAACATAATTATTTCATGAAGATTAAGAACGAGGCATCTCAATACTTGTATTTTACACAAAGAAGAGTACTTACAGTACCTTGTTGTATTTTTTTGTTGTTGTGTGAAAACAACATTCAAGAGGGACTTCCATACTCTGCTTTAGATTTATAGCAGCAACACCATCATGCATGATTGGATTTACTTTCTGGTCCTGCAGCAGCATTAAGTTACTGTTCAAGTGATGCTATATTTGCATGGAGTGTGTCAGCATTGCTGTTATTTCTATGTTTTTTTTTTTTAATTATTCCAGTAGATTGTGTTATGTGGCCATGTTTGAAACAGTTTCGGTGGAGAACACACTAATCATGTCGATACCCCCCAGTGTGACTGTGGTGGTGGCTAGCTGGGGCTGCACGGTAATTCAGGAACTTCCTCTCCTTGTGGATGCAGCAGGCTCTGTGCTCCCAGCAGAGGCCTCTGGTGAAGTGTAGGGCCAAAAGATAATAACTCTATGGCGACACAAAGCTGGCAGTTTACATACACACGCACATCGGAGCTCCTCACTTACGATGACTACAGTGAGCTGCCGTGAAACCGTGAACACACACTAAAGTAGATGTAGCTCTGATCTCAGCGCTTTTAGCCAAAACTGAATTCCCCAAGCAGGCAGCTGTCACTTTGTGTCAAAACCAAGACAGAGAGACTTGTTTAAACAAAATTACTGCAAAAAACAAAAAAACAAAGCTCTGCGACAGGACGATTGAAAGTGACCACACGAGCCGTGTTTCTTTAGTACCCGACACAAGAAACAGATCTGCGTTTCTCTTTTATTTTGTCAAAAATGTTTCTCACGAAACCGCAAAAGAAGCCTGGTTTAGCCTCCCGATGCTATCACGCGAGCTAACTGCGTCCGTTCTCGGACAGCTAAGCAGCTAAACATCCAACATCGGACAAGCCTCCCTCTAACTAGTCGTTTTAGTCATTATTATTATTTACGGTAGCAAAATCACTGCACAATTGAGGAGATTTGACTCTAGCTACTGCGTGTAATTCTTTGTATTTGACCCACTTTAAGTGAATATGATGTCGTATCGACGTAATCAGATTTAAGCGGCCGAGCATCAATAGACCCGTCAACACAAGCTGTGGTGTTAATACATTTATTTTTTTTATATAGACCATTTATTTTATGTTAAGCTGGGTGTCCAAAATGTCGACAAACAGTCGGGGGGAGAATGGCAAAAACAATAACACTAACAAAACATCCGCTGCGTGTCCGATAATGGAATTAGCTCTTAGTGGCAGATTATAAACTACACCAGTAAACATCCGCACGGGAGGTAGTGGTTCGGATTCCTGCAAATGATGACTACACGATTGTGTTTTTACTGATATGACAACACTAACTAGCTGCATAGGGGAGTAATAAATGTGTAACCAATCCGTGTCCGATAATGGAAACGTGTGGCTGATTCTCTGTCTCTGCAGTTTTACCTTGTACACATCTCCGTATGTGCCGCTTCCTATCCTCTGGATCAGCTCGAAATCCTCCTGCGGATTCCTCCGGGACAGGTCGACACTGGAGTTCATCATTTCCACTGCCGATTACGGCGCCGATCGCGCTCGGTGTGCGAAACCCCCAACAATATTAGGAAACAAATAATTACAGAAAAACATACGGCGTCAGAAAATCCCAGCCTGAATCCAATGTAGCTCCAACATGGCTGCCACTGCGCATTGAGCATGCGCAATGGACATGATGGCGTATCCTCTCCAAGGAGTCCGGTCGGGGCAGATGGAGCTGTAATAAAGGTTTCTTAAAAATATGAACATTTCACATCAATAAGATGAAATATATTCCACAAAGTCAGTCTTAAATTACTATGTACAGTTAATAGAGTCCAGAGACAGCAGCTTTTACCGGATGTTGAATTTATAATATTGATTTCACTTGATCAATTTAAACACTATTAAATCCATGCAATGAGTATAAAGTGTATAATAAAATAGTGGGAAGCCATATTTTGTGATACACATGCGGCATTAAACTGAAAGTAAAGCTAGTGGGGAAATGTATTAAAACACTAAACCCCAGGTGGCCTCGTCTGTCCCTTTTAGTGTAAAACTGGGCTAAGCAGGGCTAAACAGCGGCAGATGGCAACAATGTGATTCAGCCTATAGGCTCTGTCTGTTCCAGGCTGAACAATAGTGCAATCACACCGAACTTTATGGTTCATTTTAACAGGAGAAGGCTCAATATGTCCAAACCTTTTTCTTGTCTCAGCAGTTTATGCTGATCAAATCTCACCACCTGAATTTTGTTAATTTATAGCACCCGACTTACTAATTAATTTGGAGAAAGTTATTCTAAGATGAAAACAATTCAACAACTACATGAGTAACATTTGGAAAAATACAGTGCTAAAATATTCCAGGATTTAAAGAGCTTTATTTTATCAATGCAACTTTTTATTTATATATTTATAACCCTGTTCTTCTCCACAAAGACAGGTTAAGGAGTTTGCAAATGTTAGCCCTGTATTGACATTGCTCTTGGATTTTATGGGATTTGTGAGCAATAAGAAGAATATATAAAATGTTTAAGAATACACCTGTTCCTCAAAGCCACCCTACATGACAGCTACTTCTCCCATGCAGTGAAGATAATTTAAAATATGGGATAACAAGATGGATAAATGCTTTGCCCCTATATCTTCAAATGATTTGCAATTGGGTGGGGGTTATAAAAAAAAAACCAAGACAATTGTATTTAAGTTTTAATATCAACATTTTAAAAAGGAACTCAAAAAGTAACAATGACTTTCACTTTCTAGTTTCCACCAACTCAGTTTAAGTGTCTATCTTTACATATTTATGAATAAGTCCATCAATGGCCCCTAAGCTAACCCTAAAAGTAGTCTGGTGCTTCAAGGAAGAGAGATGGGGAGGAGGGTCTGTTTCCTCTGTGGGTGTGGAATTGACGTCTTGGTGGATTTGGGGAGTCTGCTGCTTTGTGGAAGATGGAGAAGTGGCCGGGCAGTCTTGTATCCTTGTCGCAGGCTTTGTTTCCTGGGAAGGCGTCATACTAGTTTCTTTCTGTGACAGGAGCTTTTTCAGGAGACAGGACAACTGAGGACTCAGAAGGAGAACCAAATATCCACCGATACGGAGAACTCTGGATAAATAAACAAAAAACAAATTGATAAAATGAGTTACTTACTACTCTGTTTCATAACATTCCTCTTAGCCTTACAATTCTGCACAGTACATGAAAAAAAACACACACACACACACAGAAAGAATGGTGACATTTTCTAATTCACTGAACCATCCGAAGAGAAACAATGAAAGCAGACACACAGAGGCACAAACCTCTCGATCTCAGCGAGGATGAGAGGCAGGTTGGCAGCCATGCTTGTTTTGGTGCCAAACTTCCTTCCAAATGGGAGGTCACAGACTACAGCATCCACACTGGCGCTGGGCAGAGGCAGAGCTGCACACACAGAGGGAGACACACAAGCCAAGAGGTAATTGAATACATGACAGCAGGCTTCACTGTCACCTCCTCCGCTCACTCCCTGGCTTCCAAAAAAACATGCAGCTTTGGAGCCCCAGAACTAAATTAGGAGTTCAAGTTCCAAACGTGGATTAAACGATTAAACGAAAGGCATCATCACATGAGGTTTATGATTCAAACTCTCTGAGACATTATGACATAATAATAATAACAACAGTGTTACAAATGCATGGGTTATAGTGCCTTTCAATAATTTCTAACATATTTCAATTAAGCTATTTTTAAGGCTATGTTACAGTTTTCCATAAAATATATTCTCTTGAATAAAAAAATATAGATTCTGTGGGTTTAAGGATAAATGACCCTATTCCATATTTTTAAAAGGATGCATTTGGCTTTACATTTACTGTTCATAACACCATGTGCAAAGAACTACAGAACAAAAGACACAAACGCAGCAGCAGGTTCAATGAAACCCCTGAGAATGGAAGTGAAATGATAGGAGACATGTCGCTATAGCAACATAACCGTTTTTGTCTTTGCAACTGAAGATAATTAACTCAGTGAAACAGGGATATTCTTTGAGCATCTATCATTCAAGTGCTGTAATTTGGCCTCAGAGGTTTTGACTCTAGCATACACAAACCTTCTATGCATTAAACCCTAAACTGTTTTTAATGAGGCAACAACTGTCAGCCTTAACGTTAACATCAGCTTAATGCCACACAATTAAACGTCTGATGTGTATGTAACTTTATACTAGTCATTTCAGGGATTTTTTTCAGTGTAGATTTCCTACCCATGGACGAAGCCTTCAGCAGGTGCATCCTGTTTCCCAGCTCTGCAAACTTCACATTCTCATTGGCCTTCAGCAGCTGTCCATCATCATTGTCCATGCCCAGAAAATGAGCAGCCTGAATGTCCGATTGAGGATGATGGGTGATATAATATAAGCGGTTTTCAAACTACACCCAACAGAATATACCATGCTTACATAAATTCAATGTAAATATACAAATGTGCACTTATTGTGAATGGTAAGTATTACTGTAAATGTATTAATACATACAATAACACAGCAGTAATTAACATTCATGTAAACATACGACAAAACCATCAATATTATAATATTTTCTTCAAATTCTGAAACCTTTCAAACAGAAATCTGACTTTTAGGGCTTGTCCATGTTTTCGACAGATGTACATGAGCTCTGTGGATTTCTGTCCCCACCTTGTGTTCCTGTGCCGCCTCTATCAGAATGGTCCCCACTCCACACATCGGGTCGACCACACAGAAACCTGGCTGGAGGGCAAGAGGGAACATTCAGTACGTATAGGTTGTTAACAGCATGCAGTGCTACAGTGACTACAAAGCAATATGACAATAAAGTCTCAACTGATGAGCACACAAACAAATATTATAGCCAAGCCCAACAGGCATGTGTGCATTAGTACCTGAATCTCAGCCAATGAAGCCATGGCCCAGGCAACAGTAGACCTGAGTCCCGTGGTTTGAATGTAGCTCCGGTTCGCCAGAGGTAACCTGAAGGAAAAACACAGATGAGCCATAGCTTCATTTTTGAGCTGTTCCACAGACTGGCTGTATTCCAAGTCGTTGTAATCACATGTTTAATGTCGAGAAAATGTTTCTGTAAATAACCTGGTTAGAGGAATCCCCAGGAGGCAGTCGTCGTTACTTAAACAAACATTCACCTGCAAACGAGAGTAAACGACGGATGCTGGTTCATTTTATTCCCTTACAGAAGGAGCGTGATCTTTCATATTATCTGGACATCATAAACAAAGGGCACCTAATATTCAGGACTATTAAAAAACCCCACAGATTTTTAGTTTACCTCCAGCTGTGGATTCTTCAGTTCAATTTTCCAGCCCATGAGTCTGCTCAGACCTACTCCAACCATTTTGCTCACCTCCTGTATTAGATACAATATACAAACAATTGATAGAGATATGATCCATTTGACTGCATTATTCTCCAGTGAATGATTGAACAGTGTAACACTTACTAAAGTATTGAAAAGATGCATATATATTTTTACATTATTTCTTTCCTATGTACAGATTTACCGAGATGAACAAACCCACACAAAACAGGCTGTTTGTGTTTTTTTCACTTGATTGTTTAATGTCATACATCTGCCAGTCATCATTACACTTTTAGATTTCATTACCTGCGTGCTGAAGTACCGGGACAGAGATCCTGTACACTTGCAGCTGATCCTAAAAGAGACGGGGACAGAGGAAGGCTGCAAGAGGACGGGTTGCAGAACACGCTCATCTGTTCCTCCAGGAGTCTTCGCTTTATTGAACAAGAGGCAAACACAAGAGGAGAGAATGATATAAAGACGCAATGAGAACAGATTAAAAAAAAAAAAAAAAGACAAAATCTCTTTGTGGCATCACTTCATATTTACCATTTTGTCTGCAGCTGTTGAACGCCATAACAACTCCACTCTCTTCTTCTCCCTCTGTCCTACTTTGTCTGTCAGATGTCTTCTCTTTCTTGACACACTTCTCTTCTTCTTCATCACCATCATCATCTTCATCACCCCTCTTTCTCTTCTTCTCCTGTGTTTGGGCTTCAATATGTGTTTCTTCACTCTTGTCTTCCTCCCCTTTGCTCTCTTTGGCTTTCACTCCTTCAATCCCTCTCTGTTCTTTTTCTCTCTTGCTCTTCTTTTCCAGTGTCTTCATGCCACTTTGTTCAACATTGCTTAACCTCCTGTCCTCCTCCTCCTCCTCCTCCCGCCGCTCTCTTGCACTTTTTGTAGACGCCCCAATGTACCTCTCCTCCTTTTGCTTCTGCTCTTCATTCTTCTTTCCCGCCTCTGTCTTCCTTGTCATTCCCAGGGCAGAGCTTGCTGGGTTAACAGCCCTCCCTCTGCCAGTCAGCTCCCCCTGCAGGCGGCTCCATGTCATTAAAGCACAGGCCCACTGATTCCTGTCACCCAGAAGCCTTGACTGCAGCAGTGAGGCTGCTTTTGCTTTTGAAAAAAATGACAGAGAAAACAACACATAGGTCAATTAAAAAAAAAAAAAAAAAGAGAAAGAATAAAAAATAACTTCAATAAATGCAAACTTTTTTAATGTCTGCCAGTTTATTCCTTATGTTTTGCATCACATGTGTCTGTGGTTTTTGATCTGTTGGGGCGGTACCTGGGCTGGCGTGAGCAGACAGCC